CTCTCTCTCTCTATGCATCCATTCTATCTATCATCTATCTATCTATCTATCTATCTATCTATCTATCTATCTATCTATCTATCTATCTATCTATCATCTCTCTCTCTCTCTCTCTCTCTCTCTCTATCTATCATCTATCTATCATCTATCTATCTAAATGTGTGTGTGTGTGTGTGTGTGTGTGTGTGTGTGTGTGTGTGTGTTCCAGCATAACTCTGGAACGCCTTGAGCAATTTCAACCAAACTTGGTACCCAGATGACTTACTCTCTGGAAAAAAATACCGTGGGGGTAAGATACCCCTATCACCCCTTGGTGTGTGTGTTCTGTTAAGATACAACTATTGTGCCATAAAATGGCTTCTACTGTCCAGCGCAATGGAGTTGCCTTGGTAACGGCTTCACAATACTCTACAAGGGGGCTCCCTCTGTTAAGGGGGAAAATCCAACGTTAGTAATTACTCTTGGTCCAGACATTTTCTCCCTATAAATAAATACCCAGGCAACACTGGGTTATCAGCTAGTGTAGAGTGTATAAAAATCTTACCATCTTCTCTTACCGTATTCTATAAAAAAAAATTCTTATGATTTTATTGTTATTCTTCGCAGTGAGATAAGTCTTTGGTTACCCTTGTCTGCTTTCCCCAAAGCATCACAAAAGTCAATAATATCTCTCAGTTCTAATACTCCTGCAAATGCTATGACTCTACTAAAAGTATCAGACGCGTATTATGTATAAATAACGAAATCCAAAACTTTCTTTCTATATTACAGGCTGCAGGCTGCATTCCTTGAAGTACCCAAGCCATCAGCATTGTAAGCATCACAAAAGGAGAAAACAAATTAGGCTGTGTAAGCTGGCAGATGTACAAGCATTTAGGCAAATTATTTTCCCAACTGCCCTGTTAGTGGCCTCTCTTAACAATAACTTGCTCTTCTTCTCTACCCAGAAGAAAAAACAAAATCCTGCAGGGAAAGAAGCTACCTGTGAAGACAACAACATCACACAAATTGGCGTATGGAATAATCCAACGAACAAGCAGTGTTGTACATTTACCTTATTACTCTAAGCACTGTTTTTGATTTTGAAGTTATATAAACAGAACCTTGTAATGCCGCAAGAAAGTTTTGCTAGTTAAAATAACAAGAACATGAGCAGTGCTCCACTGGGATGGGCCCCTGGCTCATCTAGCCAAGCAGTCTGCTCTCACAGGGGCCAACCGACTGCACGAGGAAGCCCACTAATCTCCCAGCAGATGGCCTTCAGACAAAGTCACTGGGCCGTCAAGGCTAACAGCTGTTGATCTTCAATCACAGGCTTTTTAGCCCCACCTTCCCCTGCTATCTCTTAAACAGACAAAAAGAAGCAGGAAGTAAAAACCACAACAAATTACAGAATAACAGAGTTGGAAGAGACCTCAGAGGTCTTCCAATCCAACCCCCTGCTCAAGAAGGAAACTCTATACCTGTGATGGTTTTTTTATGGGTTACAGTTGCAGGTGTGACCACATACCACAAAGCAATTCAGTAAATCAAGACCTCTTGTAGATCTAAAACACAGATCAAAACCTTTTCATGAACCAAACTTCACTGCATACTTTCACACAAGTGTGTGGGTACCCTCTAAGATTTTAAAATTATTCAAAACCTGACATCCCAGATCTTTGCCTTGTGGAAAAGAAATCAAATTTAATTCTAGAGACTGTTGATGCTATCTATGTGTTTTGCAGGTGTCATGATCCCAATCCCTGATATTAAGATTCTCAGTTTTGCTATGCTTTGTGTGCTATGCTTTTGATCTGCTGTGAATTTTCTATTGGCGCAATAGAAAAAAAAAGTACCAGAAACAAATGAAAAAATTGTAACGGTACCTTTCGGACTGTAGGAAACAAAATCTTTGATGAATGATCTTTGGAATCTGATATGGCTATGCTTTAAACACCCAGGAATATCTGACGTATTTCTCTGTTCTTGCAAAGCTCAGTTGTGTCAAAGCTACTATTTAATTCTATCAGGCCCCAAGAACAAAGGACAGGTGAAATTAGGTCTGAGTACTAATGATTGTTTTTCTTGTATTATTGTTTTATGGATAGGATTTTGCCAGACTAAAAAAACTATTTGCACAACTACAGATATATGCTAGGGAGGATCTGCTTTAACCCTCTTCTTCTTGATCAAACATTCCAAACTCTGCATTATCTTTGCCCTCTGGAATGTAGCCCCTCCTTGCTGGGAATCCAGACTACATTCCACAACATATTCCCAGAAGTTAGGTGGTTGTAACTATTTTACCATCATAAACAAAGTTCTCTTACTTTATCTAAGTTCATCAAAACTAATTTTCCTTGGGCTTCCGCTGTGAGTCATGGCTGATGGAAGATGTCTTCCATGAATGAGTGGATAGATAGAATAAAAGATCAGGGAGTAACTCTGTCCTTCAAAGCTCTCTGGAGAAGGAGAGAATGGGAGATGGGAGATTGCCCACAAGTGCTCTCACTGTCAGCTTCTTTCAAGGAGAGTGTAAAACAGTAGTCTCCCATGAGTCTGAGTATCAGGAACTGAAGGATATATATTTTTGTTTTCAGTGGACTCATAGACTTCAATAAGAACACTAAGCCAGCCTCACTCACTTTCTAATCACATTTGGAAATGTTCAATTTAACCATTTTACGGATAGTAGAATAATTGGATCTAGGTTGCGCCTCCTCCCCACACCCCCCGTCTGTGGAAAAATTGTCTTCCATGAAAGCAGCCCCTGGTGCCACTGATCTAAAGGATCTGTTGAGATGCCCATCTTTTCAAGAGCTGGGTAGTCCATAGAATGTATGATAACCTTTCTTAATGACAGCTGCTATACTCAGGGGCGGGGGGGGCGGGACTCTTACTTCAGAATACATTCAGCCTTTCTTAAATTTTGCAAACAGGTAAAAAAAATTATTCTAACATGATTTTGGTCCTAACTGACTCAGTGTCTTTCATAAGAATGTTTATGATTTAATTTGCTAATTTTGTTGTTCACTGCCCAGAGTCCACTAGAAGACACTAGGGCAGTGGTAGCTAACCTTTTTGTCACCATGTGCCAAAAATGCATGTGTGTGTGACACTGCATATGCATGCCTGTCCCCATAATGCACTGTGTGTGTGACATCCTTCCCCCGCATCTGCCCCTCTGTGCATGCCCGCCACACACCCCTGTGTCCTGTTTTTGGCCTAGCAGGCGTCCCTGCAGCCTCCGGGAACCAAAAATGGGGGGGGGGCAGGGCCTCTCCACATACATGCAGAAACCCCCCACCCCCGCATGCATGCACGTCTCCTGCATGTGCCCTCACATGCATGCATAGCAGAGACTCGAAAATCAGCTGGCTGGCGGGAGGCATGCGTGCCCACAGAGAGGGCTGTGTGTGCCACCTGTGCATGAGTGCCATAGGTTTGTTATCACAGCACTAGGAAGTCTTCAACTATTGAAAAACCAAGAACTACATGTGAAATCACTTCTGACTAGTTCCCCTATTGCTGTATACCTACGGACAGTATCTTGCCAAACTAAAGCAATGATCTGCAATAATTATAGTATGTGAATTTCTAGGGAGTGTCTGACCTTGCTCTCTTTCTGTCCATTAGACATTCCAACCTCTAGTGTCTTTTTATCTTCTTGGAAAGAGCCCCAACTCCAGACTACATTCCACCACAGCCTTGCAACTGGATTACAAGGCACACACAGTAAACAACTCACCTCAGGCATCCTGTAGCATTGTAGAAGATATCAGGGTCAGGGATGATACTCGATTTTGGATAATCTCTATCTGGCCATCCAGTATAAGGAATAAGGATGGTTTCTGTCAATGGCTGCAGGGCTTCCCGGATCAATACATTTTTCAGCTGGTCATTGGAGGAGAGATTCCACAACAAACCTGCAAAGGCCATTAAAGGAACAGGATGATAAAGTGGCTCTTCAGGGGGTTTTGTCTGATAGATAATGAATGGATTAATGGAATTCACTGAATTCTGGATCAGAGACTTATTTCATTCCAGTGTTTCATGTTTCCTTAATCATAAAGTGCAAAAATATATCTATATATATAAAAGCCAAATACAACTCATTCATCACGAAATCTCAAGAATTGTAAAGCCTACAAACTTGAAATAGGCATGTGTGTTCCTCTTGGCTTCTAAGTGCTTGCTAAGAAAGGATTTTTTGAAATGACCATCAGATCATTAGTATTTCTTATACAGTAATTAACACACACTGATGCTAAGGAGTTCTACTCNCCTTCCCACCAAAGGTGGCTCCTATTTTTCTACTTGCATTTTTTTACCTGCTTTCAAACTGCTAGGTTGGCAGAAGCTGGGACAAGGAATGGGAGCTCACTCCATTACGTAGTGCTAGGGATTCGAACCGCCAAACTGCCGACCTTTCTGATCGACAAGCTCAGCCACCATGTCCCTTATTTCCTTGTATCCCATCTTTATTATTTTACAAATAACTCTGAGCAGCGGATGTGTCCAATGCAACTTCCTCCGTTATTTTCTATGCAGCAAAAACCTTGTGAGACGAGTTGAGTTTTGGCTGTGCAAGTAGCATTCCTCAACTTATGACAATGGAGCCCCACATTTCCCTTGCTTAGGTAGACAGTCGTTAAGTGAGTTTTCTGCTCCATTGCACACCACCTTCCTTGCCACAATTGGTAAATGAATCCCTGCGGTTGAAGTTAGTTCCACAGTTAGAGTAAATCTGGCTTCCCCGTTGACTTCCAAGCTTGTTCGAATATTGCAAAGTTGATCACGTGACACCCCCCCCCCCGGGACAGTGCAACCGTCATAAATACACACCAGTTGCCAATTTGGATCACGTGACGATGGGAGGGCTACAACGGTTGCGTGAAAAAACATGTCACAAGTCGCCATTAGTGCTCTGGTAACTTCAGATGTTCAATAAATGAATGGTTGTAAGTTGAGGTACCTGTTCATACCGGTAGCTCTCAACGTGCTGCCACAATTGAGCCCAAAATATACGTTGCTAAGTGAGAAATGTGTTAAGTGGGTTTTGCCCCATTTTACGACTCTTCTTGCCACCTGTGTTAAGCAAATCGCGGCCGTTTTTAAATTAGTCACCCGGTTGCAAAGTGAATCTTGTTTCCCCCATGGACTTTGCTCATCGGAAGGTCGTGAAAGGGGATTTGCGTGGCCCCGGGACATAGCAATAGCAGTTAGACTTATATACCGCTTCATAGGGCTTTCAGCCCTCTCTAAGCGGTTTACAGAGTCAGCATATTGCCCCCACAATCTGGGACCTCATTTCACCCACCTCGGAAGGATGGAAGGCTGAGTCAACCCTGAGCCGGTGAGATTTGAACCGCTGAACTGCAGATAACAGTCAATAGCAATAGCAGTTAGACTTATGTACCGCTTCATAGGGCTTTCAGCCCTCTCTAAGCGGTTTACAGAGTCAGCATATTGCCCCCACAATCTGGGACCTCATTTCACCCACCTCGGAAGGATGGAAGGCTGAGTCAACCCTGAGCCGGTGAGATTTGAACCGCTGAACTGCAGATATCAGTCAATAGCAATAGCAGTTAGACTTATATACCGCTTCATAGGGCTTTCAGCCCTCTCTAAGCGGTTTACAGAGTCAGCATATTGCCCCCACAATCTGGGACCTCATTTCACCCACCTCGGAAGGATGGAAGGCTGAGCCAACCCTTAGCCGGTGAAATTTGAACCGCCGAGCTGCAGAACTAGCAGTCAGCTGAAGTGGCTGCAGCACTGCACCCCAACCACTGCGCCACCTCGGCTCTGACATAGCAACCGTCATAAATGTGAGTCCATTATCAAGCACCCAAATGGAAATCAAGTGAGCCCTAGGGATGCTACTGTGGTCCCGTGTGAAAAATAGCCCTAAGTCCCTTTTTTCATTTCCGTTGTAACTCTGAATGTTCCCGAAGTGAACTGGTGTTAAATCGAGGACTGCCTGTACCTTATAGACCCGTGATGGCGAACCAATGGCATGTATGCCACAGGTGGCACGCAGAGTCATCTCTGCGGGCAATCAAACGGTCACCCCTGCCGAGCTCCACCGTGCACGCGTGTGCACCTCCTGCCAGCCAACTAATTTTCGGGCCTCTGCTGCGCAGGTCCAGGGGGGTGGGGTGCATGCGCGGGGTGGGACACACGTGCATAGGTGGGGGGGCATGCGTGGGGGGACGGGGAGCGCAGGGGGGTTGTGCACGTATGCACAGGGGGCGAGGTGCATGTGGGGGGTGGGTGTCGCGCGCGCGTTGAATGATGGGTTTTGGCACACAGCCCTCCCTGTTGTAGATTAGAGAGGGAGCCTTTTTTCCCCCTCTTGGTTAGGATGAAGGAAAGATCACGCCATCGTGCATCATTCAGCTTGGTCATATTTATTACGTAAGATGGTTCCAGATGAACAAATTGTTCCGGGACAGAAAGCAGCCGGTTTTGGGGGGCGGCAGGGGAAATCGGAGCCCCACTGCTCCACATTTGGTCGCTTAAAAGTCCTCATCCCTTATCGGTTGTACATTCAACATCACAATGGACACAATTGCACAGGAGGGGCTGCCGAAGACGAGGGATTTCCATTTGGTTTCCCACAGAAGAGATCGGATCGGCTGGTCTGCAACTCTCCGCCCCGCCCTTTCCACGGGGCAAGAAAAAAAATATCGAGGAAAGAGAAATACGATCCCTTTCCCCAGCAGGCTGGAAGGCCCAATGGGCAGAGCATATAACACCGGGATGAACACGAGGGACGGGGTGGATGGGAAGAGGGGGGCACACGGCCACATTCGAAATCCAATCCCATTAGAAAGAGAAACCACAGAATTGAAACGTTTCCGAAATAAGCCTCCTTTTGCGGTGGGTTTTGAAAGCTGAACCTCTTTGTTTTTGAAATCCGTTATTCCCGCACACAAACTCGGGCTGTTGGCGCGAAAACCACCGTTGCTCCCCAAAAGCAAACCCAGCTTCGTGCGAAACCAGCCTGATGCGTGCAGAGAGATTCAACCTGTTCTCCAGATTTGTAAATGGTTTCCAGTCGCTACCCCGGTTCTCACCTCTTTCCCTCCTCCTGCCCATCTCCAGAAGTTAACCAAGGTCTCAACTCTGATTTTGCGCGCCCCAAAAAGTTGATCGTACAAGAAAGTGTCTCTTCCAGGCTCTGTAAATCTTACCTTCTATGAAAGGATGAGATTCAGGCTGGCCATCCGTTACGATTTATTACGATTTCCCCCCCACCCCCCCAGGCTGGATTAGAAGTGGGAAGACCCGAGTTCAAATCCACCCTCGGCCACCAAAGGTTCAG